GGATCAGAGAGAGAGATGCTGCCTACTCTACTGCTCTTGTGCAGAATTGCTTTGGCAATCTGGGGTCTTTTATGATTCTAGACGAATTTTATAATTGTCTTTTCTAGATCTGTAAAGAATGTGTCTGGTACTTTGATTGGCATTGCATTAAATAGGTAGATTAATTTGGGTAAAATTGCCATTTTGATTATATTAATTCTTCCAATCCAGGAACATGGGATGTCCTTCCACTTTTTTTGTGTCATTTTCAATTTCCTTTTTTAGCTTCTCATAGTTCTCCCTGTGGAGGCCTTTCAAATCTTTAGTTAGATTTATTCCTAAGTATCTTATACTCTTTGTGGGTATGGTAAAGGGAATAACTTTTTAGTTCTATCTCAGTCTGTCTGTTGTTTATATATAGAAATGCTACAGATTTCTTTCATTATATATACTTAATACAATGTGTAATTATGTTTGTGTTACTCTTTATCATTTAATATTTAAGGGTAGACACCGGTTTCCTTGCTAATTTGTCATCTGCAAATAGAGAGAGTTTCACCTCTTCTTTTCCTATTTGAATGCCTTTCATTTTATTCTCTTTTCTGATTGTGTTGGCAAGGATTTCCAGCACTATATTGAAAAGGAATGGAGAAAGTGGGCATCCTTGTCTTGTACCTGTTTTTAGTGGGAAAGCTTTCTGCTTTTCTCCATTCAGGATGATGTTCGCTATGGGTTTTTCATAGATGGCTTTTATTGTGTTGAGAAATGACCCTTCTATGCCTATTTCACTTAGAGTCTTGATCATGAAGGGATGTTGTATCTTATCAAATGCTTTTTCTGTATCAATTGATATGACTATATGGTTTTTAACTTTATTCCTGTTAATATGGTATATTATATTTATGGTTTTGCATATATTGAATCAACCTTGCATTCATAGAATAAAGCCTACTTGACCAGGATGTATAATCTTTTTTATATGTTGTCAGATACGATTTGTTAGTATCTTGTTGAGAATCTTTGCATCTATATTCATCAGAAATATTGGTCTATAGTTTTCCTTCTTTGTCCTATCCTTATCTGTTTTAAGGATAACGGTGATAGAGGCTTCATAGAATGAATTAGGGAGAGATTCACCCTTTTGGATCTTTAGAAATGACTTCAGCAGAATGGGGGTTAACTCTTCTTTGAAAGTTTTTTGTGGAATTCAGAAGTGAATACATCAGGGCCAGGGCTTTTCTTTGTTGGAATGTTATTTATTCCTGATTCAATCTCCTGGCTTGTTAAGGGCCCATTAAGACTTTCTGTATCCTCCTGGCTCAATCTTGGCAGATTATATGTGTCCAGGAATTTGTCCATCTCATCCAGATTGTCTTGTTTCTTGGCATATAGTTGTTCATAGTATCCCCTAATGATGTTTGTATTTCTACTTTGTCTGTTGTTATATTGCCTGATTCACTGAAGATCTGATTCACCTGGTTCTTTCCTGTGTTCTTCTTAATAAATGTCACTAGTGGTGTATCGATTCTGTTTACCTTTTCAAAGAACCAGCTTTTACTTTCATTTATTTTCTGTATAGTTCGCTTATTTTCTATTTCATTTATTTCTGCTCATATCTTTATTATTTCCTTTCTCCTGGATTTTTTCCATATTTTTGCTGTTGCTTTTCCAATTCTCTAAGGCATGAAGTTAGGTGATCCATTTGCCTTCTTTCCGTCTTCCTCTTAGGTGCACTAATTGCTATGAACTTCCCTCTTATGACTGCTTTATTAGTGTCCCAAAGATTAGGGAAACTCGTGTCCCTTAGGCCAGGGATCTGGAGATGGAAGTGGGGTCTGCTGTAGAGCTGGGGGTGGGGGTCCTGTGTGTTAAAGAAAAGTGTGCAATTAACAAATGCAACAAGAGAAGGCAAAAAAATGTCCTACTTGGATGACAGAGATAGGGGATCTCTGGGCTTGTGGGTTTCAGGGCCAGAGCTGGGGCAGCGGACCCTATCTGAGTGTCCCTTAGGCCAGGGCTTTGGAGATGGCAGTGAGGTCAGCTGTAGAGCTGGGGTGGTCCTCACTGATAGATAGGAGTCTCTGAGCTTGGGAGTTCTGGGGCTGGAGCTGTGGAAGGGGGCCCTGCCTCAATGTCTCTTAGACCAAGGGTCTGTAGATAGAAGTGGGGTCTTCTGTAGAGCTGGAGGTGGTCATGTTTGGTAAGAAGTGCACAATGAACAAATAAAAGAAGAGAAGGGAAAAAAAAAAAGCCTACCTGCCTGACAGAGATAGGGTGTCTCTGGGCTTGGGGATTCTGGTCCTAGAGCTGGGGCAGGGGGCCCTGCCTCAGTGTTTCTTAGGCTACTGTTCTGGAGATGGAAGTGGGACATGCTGTTGAGGTGGGCTCAGTCCTTTGTGATAAGAAGCCTGAAATTAACTAATGAAAGCACAAGAGAAGGTAAAAAAAAAAATGGCCTACCTGGCTGACAGAGAGAGAGAGTATCTGGGCTTGGGGGTGCCAGAGCTTCAGCTAGGACAGGGGGCCCTACTTCACTGTCCCTTAGTCCAGGGGTCTGAAGATGGAAGTGGGGTCTTCTGTAGAGCTGAGGGCAGTCCTGTGTGGTAAGTAGAAGTGTGAAATTAACAAATGAAAGACAAAGAGAAGTAGGGGTCTCTGGACTTGTGAGTTCTGGGGCTGGAGCTGGAGCAGGGGACCCTCCTTCAGTATCCCTTGGAGAGGGAAGTGGGATCTAATATACTTTTAATACTTTCTAAGGAGGTTTTAATTTCCTGTATTACATTCTTCATCTCTAACAATTCTTTTATTTTTTTATGGTGTCTATTTCTTTCAAATTGTGAAAGGAGTTCCTCATCTTCTGTAGCTCATTGTCTCTTTTCTCTTGCATCTCATTTAGTTTGATCACTACAAATATTCCAAATTGCTGATCCAACATAACCACAAGTTCCATTGTGTTTTCTGCGGGTGACTAGGAATTGATACTTTCCTTTGGGGGAGTTACATTTTGTTGGTTGCTCATATTTCTTGTGCCTCTGCCATTTTTCCTAGTCATCTGGTGATCTATACAGTCCTAAATTGTTCAATATATCTCTAAGCATTCAAAGCTGTGCACTAATAGAAAATTGAGGCTCTCTCTTTGCCCTGCTTCACTGTTGCTCACCAGCACCCTGCACTATTGTCAGTGGTCCTGGGTGGCTCGAAGTCCTCCTTGTTTCTAAAGAACAGATGCGCCCAAAAACTGAGCTGCTGAGCTTCACTTCAGGAGCAAAGAAATATTGTACAGTGCAGGCGTACCTTATGCTATCCAAATCACTGAAATTCTGAGAGTTCAAAATCATGTGGGGGAGGGTATGAGCCATGGGTTGACTGTTAATCCTTGCAACCACAGGCAGGTTCCAGTCCATTGAACAGGTATCTAGATGGGTGGGTGCAAGTTTATTTTAAAGTCCCAAGACACAAACCTGAATTCCAAGGTGGGTGGGGGAGAGGGTAAAATCATTATTGAAAATTAAAATTTAAAATTATACAAATGTTAAGGTTATGCTGACTACCGCTCAGTGATTTGCCTGAGCTCATGTAACTAAGAAGTGACAAAGTAGGGATTTGAACCTATGGTACATTTCAATTATCTCAAACTTGCTGCTTCTAAACTGAGAGGAAGAATGCAGATTAGGTCAGTTAGGTTTTCTGACTGGTTGTTCACTGTATCAGAGTTGGCCTAAGAAAAATAGCTCCCCTTTAAGAATTTTTGTCAAGCCTTCCTGTTAATATTAATGAATATGATAAACACATTTATGCTGAGATTCTTGCTATTCATTCCAAGAGTCTGAAGAGGGCTATGTTTAACCCATAGAACAAAGTAATAGCAGTGGTGTTAAAGATCTTGTAGCACTAAAGTGAGTCAAGGGATTTTGTGGAAGGGCCTTCTTTGAATCACACCTTATGAATGATTGCTTTCTTTGTTTACATTTAGAAACATTTTTAGCTCTCCAGAACATTGCAATAATGCTTCATCAGGTTTCCCGTGTGCAGAAAGTACACCTGAGTTTGTGTTCTGCTCTTTTACTAACTGTTTGGTCTTAGAAGTGTATTAACTTTCTTGAACTTTGAACTACCCATCTACAAAAATGGAAAAAATGATTAATACCTATGGAGTTGTTTGGAAGATTAAATGAGACAATGTATTTCAAGGATCTATCTCATAGTATTATTTCATAAATAATAACAACAGTAGCACATAATTATACAGAATTTTTTAGTTTTTTTAATCAATATTGCTGTAAACACATACTCATGTTAATTTATATAAATCTAATGACCTTGTGAAGTAGACACAATTTTTTGTTGTTGTTGTTAGAACAACTCAGCAAAATAAAATTCAGGTTTATTGTTGGACAACATTGTTTCACACATACATCAAACAGGCCAAAAAAATAAATAAATAAACAGCAACTTCATAGACAAAAAAAGGAAAAAAAGAAACCTTTTATCTTTGGCCTTTTTAACCATCTTATACAAACCAACTATTTATAGTACAGCTAAGTACATACACAAAAAAAGTTACTGGAATACTCGGAATAAGACTGTTTTTTTGTTGTTGTTTTTGCTTTTTTTACAAGTTTTTTTTTTTTTTCCTCCTTTGAGATTATAGTGAACATGGGGGGGCGGGGGGGAGCCTCTCTACTCGAAGGTGACCATGTTTAGATTCTGAGACGGGAAGTGGAGGGTGAATAGGTCATGGCGGCCTTTTCTTAAGTTTAACTTTTCCTTTTTTTTGCTGTCTAGTCATCCTCTCCGGTCTTCCGCTTCTTGATGTCCACATCATCGTCCTCATCATCCTCAGCTGCCTGCTTGCCCGTAGCTGCCTCAGCCTCCTCGTCTTCATCTCCGTCCTCCTCTTCACCGTCGCTTTCTTCCTCCTCTTCACCGTCGCTTTCTTCCTCCTCTTCCTTCTCCTCCCCGCTTTCTTCCTCTTCTTCGTCTACCTCGTTCTCAGCCTCCTGTTCCCCGTTTTCCTCATTAGCGTTCCCGTTAGCCAGGGGCATCTCTTCCATTCTCTGCCTCCTCCACAACTTCCTTCTTCTCCTTCAAGTCCTTGGTGGTGATCTCGGAGCTAGTGTCCACGGCCGCGTCTGACATGGTGGGGCACGCCGGTGATCCGATGAAACGGATTAAAAAGAAAGTGAGAGTTCGGGGACCCTGGCTATAAAGCTGCCAGACCCAGAAACAATGCAAAGATGGTTTTTCCGAGCAGCCAGTGGGGCGACACAATTTTTTTTTTTTGAGAGACAGATTTTTGCTATAGGGTACATGTGCTCACCAGAGAGACAGAAAGCAAGAATCCCTCCTTCCACCCATAGAGAATGGCCATACCACAGTCCCCTCTCCTCTCCTTTTGGGATTTTGGGCACATACATGCGTGCTCCCAGTGTGTTTTAAGCTGGCAGATCCAGGACTCAAACAACAGTTGACTACTTGAGAGTCAAGAAATGTAACCATTATGCCATCTACTGGTCCCAGTAGATACTATTATTAATCCTATTTTATCATTGAGGAAATAAACACAAATAGGTTGAGGTGCCTCACGCTGCACAGCTATGAAGTGGCAAAGCCAAGATTCAAACAAGCAGAGTGGCTCTTTGATTATAGCCTACCTCTAAGAGGACAATTCCATAAAAGAAAATAAAAGTTTTGAGCGCTGAAAGCACACCTGGACTCTATATGACTTCAGGAGCTGAGTATTTCTGAATGAGTAATGCATAAATTTGAGTTTTTAATCTAAAAATGACCAAACAAAACATAACAAAATAATTAGTGATATTAACACTTTTTTACTTAATTGCATATTGTCCTTTATTACCTATCAGTAGCCCTGACCTGTTAGAATTGATATTTCCTATCATGATTATGAAGCTCACAATGTAGTATGAGTTCTACAACATGTATACAAATAATTAGAATACGAAGCAGAAAGTTCAATGTGACAAATATTAAAAGGAAGTGATCCTAGAGTTCAGAAAGAAGAGAGACCATTTTCTTCAAGGTGGAAGATGTACCCTTCTGAAAATAGGAGGTTTTCAAGAAAAAGTTTAGAATAAGGAAGTCAAAGAGCTTGTGAGGGTTGCAAAATGCAGAACAGGAAGGAGAGCTGAATTCTAAATAGAAAGTATAGAGACAGTGAAACAAAAAGATGTTGGAAACAAGTAATTTACTTTATTTGTGAAACGAGCTACAGAACTGAAGTCAGCAAATTAAGATGAGGTCAGACAAGGATGAGAGATGTGAGACTACTGACTTTGAACCTTATTCTGAAGGAAACAGGGAGTCATTGAAGACAACTTTTTAAAAATATTTTTGATATCAACAAAGAACTCAACTTTGGGACAATTAACCTACCAACTAATTTGAGGTGGATTAGAGAACAAGTAATAAAGGCAAGGAATCTAAGTAAGTGGCTGTTGCTATAGGCAGTTGACATTGATGCACACAAAAAGAGAGCCTTTATTTCTGTGTTAAGGGACCAGTTTAACAAATATTTGCTCTAAATTTACCCACTAATTTTTTTGTTTGTTTGCTTTTTTGGGTTTTTTTTTTTTTTGAGAGGTTTTTGCTATAGGGCGTGTG